TTTAGATTTGTTAAAAAGTACATAAAATTAAGTATATAACTTTTTTTGGGTCTTATTATATCCATTATAGTTGTACATCTATATAATATATTATATATATAATTATAATTTTATCATTAATATTATACTCAAATATTAAAAAAAATATGTACATTTTTTTTAATAAAAAGTTGTTTAGCTTATTCGGTCGTTGGCTGTATATTCGGCTGAATAGTTGTTATCTAGTCTCGTTTTGTTATTAATATAAGTCCTTTTTATCGTTCTGTTTCAAAAAAAGATACGTGAGTAATGGTACTATATGAACATAATTTCTTGATAAAAATTTATTTATTTTAAGCGTATATAGACATATTATAGTTTTCTAGATATTTTGAATTAATTTTGAAGATAATGACCAATAAAAGTATATATAACTATTGTCTTTCACCTAAAACTTACACCTAGAACTAATAAGAACAAAAAAATTAACAAGCGTTTAACAACTCAACTCATTTACATCAATAAGTAAAAGTTTTAAAAGTTTGATCTTTAATTTTATTAACCATAACATTTTATTTATTACGTTTTTTTCATATTTTTTAGTAAGTGTTACAACTTAAGTGTATTTTAATATTATTTATCAAATTTAATATGTTTTTCCTTTCTATTGTTATTTTATATGTTTTAATATATATATATATATATTCCTTTATAATGTTTTTTTTCCTTAATATATTTGTTATAAGAATATATAAAATTAAATATAGAATCTTTTGGGACAATTGTCTTATTATAATCAATTAATTGTACATTTTTTATTTTATTATATATAATCAAATTTTTCTCATTAATATTATACTCAAATATAAATAAATTAATTATGTACTTTTTTTTATTAAAAAATTACTTTATTAAAATAATACAGATAAATAGATAGATAAGTAATGGTAATATATCGATATAATTTATTGCTAAAAATTAATTAATTTTCAACGTATATGTGCATATCATGATTTTCTAATTGTTTTTTAATTAATTTATAGATAATCATGTAATCTAAATTAAATCATGTTGCTCAAGCAGTATACATTTGAAATAAAAATAAAATAGTATGGGTTTTAGTATTATGCAATTTCATAAAAGTAGACTAGAAGTTTAGGCTGCAAAACAATCATTCAACAATTAATTTTTCATACTATTACATTATTTTTATAGGTTATTTTGAAAAAAAACGTTTTTATAGTTTATGGGTGTTGTGAGGAAAAACATTATCGATTTTAATTTTTTTAGTTATAGTTATTAATAATAGATGAGTAATGATGATATATGATATAATTTATTGGTAAAAATTAATTAATTTTCAGCGTATAAGCATATCATGATTCTCTAGACATCTTAATTAATTCGTAGATAATTATATGATCAAACTTAAATCATGCTGCTCAAGCAATATCCCATTCGACTAAAAAATGGATTGAATTTTAGTATTATATAATTCATAAAATTACAATAATCTTATTTTAAGTAAAAAAATTGAGTATTTTAGAGTTTAGGTTGCAAAATAATTATTCAACAATTTATTTCTCATACTATTACACAATTTACTTTTTTTCTAATTTATTATGAAAAAAATATATTAACTTTATATTTGACATATTTTTAATGTCAAATTAGTAATATACTAATACTTATTTAATATTTAATTAATTAAATACAATTACACAAACTAAATATTCTAGACTAAAGTGCAATTTCTATTCTAGTTCTAAATATAAGAGTTTACTTTCTTAAATAATGAAGTAGCTAAATGAAATTGTTCAACTTCGCTAGTTTGTAAGATAATGTATAAAATTATATTAAAAACAAGGATTTTTTTAAAACAACAATTATATATTTTTTCAAAACTTTGTTGTTTAGGTTGATGTTGGGTTGATTTTTGGGAGATATGTGGAAGAAAGCCATTTCGTGATAAAGAATGGTGCGTGAATATTTTGTTTGATTTTTAGGAGATGTGAAATGTATTGTTCTTGTATTTGTATTTAATATTTTAAGCATTAGTTATTAATTAAAAACATAAGATATGATGGGTATTAGTGTATTACTTATTTGCCATTAAAAACATGTTAAAGTAAGGGTTTTTTAAGTAATTCATCTTTTTAATTAAAAATATAAATAAAATATGTATTAGTGTATTACTAATTTACCATTAAAAATATGTCAAAGTAAGGTTATTTTAGGTAGTTCGTATTTTTACAAAAACACTCGTCCTTTTAGAGTAGTATAGAAACGATCGAGTACTACAACATATTATTTAGGTCGACATCGCGACTATTAAAATAATTATAAATCTATAAATAAAATTCGATAATTAGAATAATTCAAGAAATTCTATAAATCGCACGTGGCACTACAATAAAAGAAAAGAAATTGTGAACTGACCAAACAAATAGACGTGTTTGATGTGTAGAACCCACCAATAGTCTTGAAAATATAAAATGAAGAAAGAATTTGCGAAATGTAAAGGAATCTAAAAGTGATTTTAATAGGGCAATTGGCAAGAAAACAAGTAGGTGAAACAAGAGAATAAAATGAAAAGAAGGATGAAATTATTTTACCAGTTTTCTTTAACAATAGGGGACCCCTTGCAAGCTTGGTTAGCTAAAAAAGATTCTTTTGATTTGTACACATCTAACACAAGAGAGAATTCGTAGAGAAACGTGTGGGTCTCGTGGGCAAGTCGACATTTGGAGGTGTACCTGTCACTTCTTGTCTTTCTTATCAACTTCTCATTTTTTTTCTCTCCAAAGACTAATCACCGTTTCTTTCTATTTCCCTTAATTTCCCTTCCCAAATTTGTACAAACATGTATATAGCATATGCACGGAGAGTATCGATATTGTGTTAAGATTTTCATACATGTTCCTTTACTATGTATACAAGTTAACTTTTTAATCTAGTAGCCAAATTCATTAAGATCTCCAAAAATTTGCACGATTCCTTTCAGATCCTCATATTAATTTCCACGATGAGTTCGCCTTTAGGTCGACCCACCTAAGCTTCTTTGATTTAACGGCCACCTTAATTTTAGTCTGAGACAGATAATCTAAGGATCTTAAACCACTTCCATATGATAAGCTACTTTCCATATGATAAATCATATCGTAAGATCTACTTCTCTTTAGAGTCTCTCCAACATATACAAACGCATTCACAAATAGAAAAAGAAGATAAAATTTCAGAACCGTGACTTTTGCTCCTTTTTCTTTTTGCTCAAATCTCTTCCTTTTGTTTTGAGCTCTTTTTGTGTTTCTCTTACCATTGGTTCTCTTGAGTTTCATCTCTAGCCTACTCTAACTTGTTTGGGACTAAAATACCATGTTGTTATTGTTGTTGTTGTTGTTGTCCATTTTCTCCCTCATCAAAACGCACATATATGTGTGTTGATGGGTGTTTCCGGTCAACTGTTAAAAAAGATAAATAGTGAAAAATTAACGAGAAAAGACAAAGGAATACGGTTTAATTATGACTTCATTAACTGATCACGAGGTCGGCCTCTCGTACGAGGTCGGCACTTGCGATTTACTTACAAGTTCTTACACAAATTACTTAAGTCTAGAGAGAGAAAATATGTAGAGGGTCAAGACAGTTGGGATTCAACAACCCAAAATAAATGCTCAAGGCTTCTATTTATAGGGTCCTTAAATGTGGTACTGTTCGTGGGTCTTATCGTACAGTAACTCGGCAAGACGGGCCGACGTTTCTCTGACTGATTGGGAGTGATTTCGGGATCTTCCAACCATTACCCGCAGCGCATTTAATGCTGGTATGGGCTGCATTTAATGCGGACATGCTCCTTGGCCGAGCTAGACGCCCTAGTCCTGCAGACTAGTCTCGGGTGTCCCATCGGTAATCATTCGTTGACAAGTGACCTTATTTAATTGTTTCCTAGGTCCTTAACCCCTACGAAGGTCGGGCTGATAGGGTACCGAGCCGGGCTGTGTCAGTCTCTGCCCGTCCTCCGGTTTTCCAGACCCTATACCCGGTCTGGTCGGCTCCTTAACGGGAGCACCGAAGTACCGACCTCGGGATACGACGTCGTCCGCCGTTCCAAGCGATTTTGACTAATACTCAGCTCGGCACCTGTTAATTGGCATGGTAGCCGACCCCATTGGCCGGATCGGCCTCGCCCGGTCTCCAATTTCTCAGACTGTTACTTCCACGGTGACCCGACCCGGATATCAACAATGTGTTTGTCTTGTAGCCTCTCGCAAATCAAAACCTCACTAACTAATGATACTACCTTTTTCAAAATTAAACATGATTAAAAAAAATCGTTTTTGAACATATATATATTTTCTTCCAATCACACAATAAACGAACAAGTTCAAACATAACTTTGCTCAAAAAATAAATGAATGAATAAAAATAGTGTTCGAACATGAACGAACACGAGTCCGAAATGTCCAAACAAAAATAGTGTTCGAACATGAAAGAACACGTGTCCGAAATGTCTAAGCGGACCAAGCCCACTCAATTAGTTCCATTCCATCTAGTGTATTTGGCTGTGACATTGGACGATGTAAACGTAGAGAAACTACAGTGATAAAGCGAAAAAAAAAAAAAAAATCATTCCTAGATAATCACGAAAGGGTTAGATAAAGAAAAGTTAAAAGGCTTTTACAGCCAGGGATTGGGTGAAAATGATTATGCCATAATTGTTTTTGGACCATTCTTCTCTGTCAGATAAAGTATTTCTCATTTTCGAATAAGAAAATGAATTGCGAAAAAGAAAATGATTTTTCATTTTTCTTAAAATAATAAAATAAAATTGCGAATTGTTGTGGTATTTTATACGATGCCGTCTCGTGATTCACGAACTGACGGCAACTGGATTCGTTGGAAAAGTAGGTGCATACTGCGGGGTCCATTGTGCATTGTATTTTTCACCAAAACCAAAGTTAAAATTAAAAAGTTCTTATAAATAAAAGAGACAGAAACTATCTTATATCCATGTTACATTATGTTAGAGTTGTAGATTGGGGAAGGGTGAAACCAGTCATTACTCATTAGAATACAAATCTAATTGTTACCATTTAGGTTACATATTCTATAGAAGCAATGTCAACAACTCTAAAATGATATTCCAACAAATTACATTTTGAACAAATTTTTTTCTGATTAGTAAGATCTAGGTTATAATTTAAATGGGACTCTATATTATCTTACATATAGGTCAATTTCCCCAACTTTATTAATTATGGACCTTTATTGAGAACCGGATACACGTGTTGCATTTCATTTACTATTTGGATAGCTTTACATAACGAATTCCACTTGTTATATATTCCCAACACTGGAGAGAGAGGAAAACATGTGTATAAATTATAATCAACATTTACAGGAGGAAGACCAAATTAAGTTCACGGTTCTTATGATTTTTTTCTTCTTTTCTTAAGGTTGACAACAAGAATTTATGTTCAAGTTAAAATTACACTACAACAAAATAATGAAATTCCAACGGAAAGTTCCAATACAAATATATTTGAACAAAAATATTCCGTTACATTGAGTGAGTTTTCATTAGTTTTTCTGTCGATTATGACGATTTCAACTGTAGATTTTCTAACGAAAATTCCTACGGAAGCTATACCAACAGAAACTATACCATTAGAATATTCGTTGGAATTTCCGTTAGAATATATTATCGTAGAATTTTCCGTTTGAATATAACAATTTTTTTGTAGTGTTGATTTAAAGAAAAAATATATAAAAAAATGGCTAAAAGTTAAACCTGAATGTGAGAACATAACTTTTTTAAAATAAACTAGCATGTACTCCGTGCCATGCACGTGAAAAAAAATAATAAATGAGTTATTTTCACAGATTCTGTCCGTTTAAGTCTAAAAAGCAATAGAATTATCATCTACTTTCCACCTCTTTTAATCAGAGTTAATTCTAAAAAACAATAGGGTTATAATCTATTTTTCATTTCTGGCTAGCTTGTAAAATAATTAATGTACTATATCACTAACACATTTATACTAATATAAATTTAATTTTAATATATATATTTATTCCTTGATATAAGAGAAAATAACAGTTTACTTATTCTTGTTCACTATATAATACTTAATTATTATTTTATTATATATTTTGTTGTCATATAATGTCATTATTATTTATGAACGTTATAAGAGTTGTTCGTCTTCTTTTTCTTTTTATTTTTTGTAATAAAAAATATTTAATGCACGTTAGTATTATTTATTCACGTAATCAATTTAAAATATATAAATAATTAAAGGATGTATAAATATTTTACAAAATATACACACATGTTTTTTTTTAAAATTTAATTTTGTATACTAATTAAACAACTTTGATTTCGCAAATGCAAAAACCCAATCCCTTCAGTAATCAAGATTTTCCAAATTTGCATTTTAAGGATTTTTAGTTTATTTAGCATATCCTGCAATGAAAATATATTCTATAAGAATCTCATTACAGAAAGAAATCAAAATAAAAAAGTGATAAAAAAATAATCATGGTTGAAAATAATATACAAATAAATTCTAAAGAACAGTTAATATATGTCAATTTTTATTTTTGACCATTAGTAAAACTATTTAATGTATCTGGTCATTATCTCTTAAATGATAAATTATATTAATTTGAAGAATAATTATTGACAGTACTAACTAATCAAAAAACTCCCCCTCTTCTCTGCAACAAAAAAACCTAACCGCCGCTCTTCTGTGATTTGCCGTCGATTCGCCTTTCTCGGTGATGGTGGGGCCTGGCCAGTGGTCGCCCTTGACCGCTCGCCCCGTCCAGGATGTTGTGCGCCCTGTATCTTCTGTGGTTCTGCTGCGTCGCTGTCTTTCAATCGACGGCAAATTGGAGTTTCGAGGTGCCGTCCCCTTGGTCGGAGTCCAATCGACAATTGGTGGTTTCCTGACGGCCGCCGGCGGACCCTCGATTGGGGTGGTAAGCCCCTCTTTCTTTCTGCTTTTGTGGGCGATTGGACCCCGTTGCGCGTTTCTATTTTCTTAGGCGGGGCTTCTGGTGGGTGTTTGGTTGTTGGTCGACGGAGTTCTACGGTGGTGCTCAGTGGTGTGTGGGTTCGAGGATGGGGCGAGGCCCCGACTGCTGCGACGTCTCCTGTTGAGGCGGAGGGGGTTGAAGAACTGTACCACCTACTCCCTGCTAGTGGTGTTAGGCGGCGAGGGTCCGGGAACTTGTTTCTCTTGAGCTCGGCTAGTGGTGTTAGACGGGTTCGAGAAGGGCTGGTTGGGGTTGGGCGGTTCTCTCGGTTGGAGGTGGGTCGATTCGGGGAATGGTTCGGGGCTCGATTTCGGCTACTGTATAGGTGGCTGCGCAGTTTCGGTAGCGGTTTCTCGGCCTGGGACTCCTTCTTGTGTCGATTATTCACTGCTGGTGGGGCCTGCTCGATTGTCGGGGAAGGGCTGTTTGTTATTTTAGTTTTTTAGGTTGTTCTTGTTTTTTGTCTTCAGTGTCTGTGTTTGTGTTAGTGTTTGTGTTGTTACTTGTGTTTTAGGTTTGGCCGTTGGCCTTGGTTTGTCCGAGTGTGACTTTATTATCCTGTTGGGATCGTACACTCGGGCATTATGTTGGGGTCGTTTTTTCTTTTTCTTTCTCCTTTTGGGATCGGCTCTAGGCGGTCTTTTGACCTGTCCTTCCAGTTTATTCAGCTTTTGGCTGTTTGTATTCAGCTTTTGGTTGTTTGATACAGTTGATGGCTGTACTTTTGCACATTTGTGCGATTTTATATATAGTTCCTCTATCATTTCGAAAAAAAAAAGGAAGAAGAAGATTTATTTTTATGTATAACGAAATAAAGCTTAAGAAAAAATTATATTGGCTAAGATTAATTCATCAACTTGATTTTGGTGATTAATTGGAAGAAAAAATTCTACCTAACCTGTTACGATTTTCTATAAATATTTTAGATAAAAAGTGAATATTTTTTTTTAAAAGAATAATATTATGGTTAGAACTTAAAATATGTTGTAATATTTATCTTGACCAAGATATTATCAATATGAATCACGAAAAATCAATCTTCTAATTTATTATAATGGATATGAATTAAGTAATTGCAGATATTAATAAAGTTATTTAAGGAAACTATATTTTTTATCATATCTAATTTGATCTTATTTGAAAACGTGTATATGGAAGCAATTAATGCATATATTTAAAAAGTTTCCAAAAAAGGTATGCATTAAATGCTGCCAGAATTTTTGACTACTATTTTTAGTAAATGATTATTCTTATTATATAGATATAGATTTGCTTCACATAAGGGTCTGTTTCCCCAATTCAATTGAAAATCAAATTAACTCTTGCATTCATTCAATTGCTCTTTTACAATTTGGTTAAGAGACCATTATGTTTTCCTCTCTCATTCGATTCTAGGAATTAAACTTCGTGTTAAAAAGTTCAACTTGTTGCAACACAGATATGTAATATGATCCCACCAAGGGTCGATCCCGTCGACTCGGTGAGTCGACCGGGGTCACCGTGCTCGACTATGCATGAAGTCATCGAGCTGGTTTATCGTTTGTAGTGGTCGACTATAATCAAATCCCTTACGTGACTAGGATGTGGGCGGTCGATTGATTGGTCGACTCTATATCTTACTTCGCAGAAAGCAATAATAGGACGACCTAGATGAAAGTAAGTTGCATGATTAAGTGTCACTAGCCTATACAAACGTGGGGGTTATAGTGGTGGAAGGTGAGAGTTCATTTATTACAATTATACATTATTGCTAGCAATTATGTTTAATTGTAATAAATGAAGTATTCTAACTTGATCGTCAAAGTGTTCGCACCATAGAAATTTCGGCATCCTTGCACGTGTTTCGGGACTAGGGATAGGTCGATAGAAGGACAAAAGAGGAAAGGGGGAAACTTTGAACCGGAACGAAGGGCATCAAATTGAAGTTAATACATTAATACCTTATCAACTTAGCGCTGTCTGTGGGACCATTCGGCTCAACCAAGGTTGACTTAACGGTGTTCTCACGAAATCTCAGAAAAGGTCAAGTTTAGACGAGAGGAATGGGGGATAAAGAAGCACGGAGGTGAAGACAACACTTGGCTGTTCGGAGCTTCGTTCACTACCTAGTCGTCAAAGTCACATAACCAAATACAAGGTCCTAAACATGCTACTCGCTTGATTTGGGGATGATTGCATGAAATTGAACTAAGAATCTAAGAACACATGATGAAAAATGCAAGAATCGAAGGAAATGTCATAGCATTGGTCGCACGAAATCTCCATAACTCAATAAAATAAAAGAAAACAAGAGAAAACATGCGAGCATAGTGATCCTAGGTAACCGAACACGAGCTTTCTACACTTAATCATCACGATTTGAACAAAGTCGAAACCTTTATACTAGATAAGCACGTATTGATTCCTAACACAGAAAAGCAAGCAATAAAAATAAAGTGAAACCTTAGAAACGAGCATAAACACAAAATTGAAAGAAACAAACTCGAAGTAGTAAGTCCTAAGCAAGGTACTTACTCTCCTATCGCTTGCCCGGACGAAAATAATGAATAAAGCTTGAAACTTGGATGAAAATAAACTTGCCGGAATTTTGCCAGAAAAATAGAGTCATGGACCTCCAACCAAATCATAAAAATAAAAAAAGAAAATGGAGAGGATTTCCCAACTTAAAAGTTGGGAAATGAGGGGTGGTGTCCAAAAATACAAAGCACAATGTCTATATATAGCTACACCACAAACACACACTAGAAACACACACATTTAATGAAATTCTGAAGTTCGCGGGTCTCGAATTGTGGTTCGCAGCGAGTTCGGGCATGGAATAGTGCAGCTGGGCGCGTTCGCGGGCCACCAAAACAGTCTCGCAGCGAATTTGGGCTTGGGTAGCTGTGGAATGG